ATCAATGACTTCAGTTTATGAAACCTCTTATTTGTATTATTTTTTCTGTCGTATTTTGAAATTGTCTAGCTTCTCTTAATTTGTGGTAGAGTGAACTGGAAGCTCACTGGAAGTTTCCTGACTGAGATCTCAATACATTGTACACATCTTAACAAATACAGACATGAAAAGGAGAAAATGTTCCTGGAAATTTAGTATTTATTGGTGAATGTGATTCAATTCATCTATGTTCTATGTAGGTAGGACATTGCTGTCCTTTTCCTTGGCATTTCTTGATGATGAGAATTTAAGGGTTTGAGAGCTGGTATTTATATGCAGAGAGAGGCTGATACAGCACCACTGTGGTTTTGATTGGGTTGGGGTTTTTTTGCTGTTTTGTTGTTGTTGTTTTTTGGTTGGTTTTGGTTTGCTTGGTTGTTTTTATTAAGGGGTTAACGAAAACTGCAGAGAGAAAACCCCAAACCCCACCAACATAAACACCTAAAACCCTTTCTCTGAAAAAAAATTCCAAATTCTGCTTGTCTTTGAGAATCATGGTTTCATTTTTGCCTTTTAAGCACTCCAAATATTGTTCATGTCTCTGTTTCAAAGGAAAATTTGAAATTAAAAATGTTGGGAAAACAGTTTTTAGTGTAATATTTATGTATTGAGTAGATTTCTCCTGACTGATTTTTGGGGCAGTGCATAGGCTTTGAATGTATCTTCATCTCCTGCACCTTCCTCCTTCTCCTAGGTGTTTTTTAGGGCTGTTCATTGTGTACATGTTTCCCTCTAATTCTGGGGGTTTTTTGAGTCTTGATTCTCTGCTTCCCAAAGTAAATTTGCTGAATTGCTTTGGCTTTATTCTATTATTATCCTGCCCACCAGAACAAGATTGTGAGCAGAACTGAGACACATATTTAAAAAGCCACCTAATTTTTTTTCTCTGTGTTTTCTCATTAAATTCTATAAGATGATGGTACCCCACAGTGTAATATTTAAAATGCCAGTTATAATGCTTGTAATACCACAGAGTGGTTTTATCAATCTGGAGCCTGATACTAGTAAACAAGATAAAACAGAGTGAAAACCAGAAATTTCAAAGAGTTTGGATTTTTTTTTTAAAAATATTCTATAGATAGTAACAGCCTCTTCCACAGCCTTTCAGCCTGTCAGTTTTTTACTTGAAACCAAGTCAGCCTTTGGTTTTGCTTAGCAGCTACACAGATCTCATCTCTGCTAAAGGTTTTATTTCTCTATTTCCCCACAATCTGGTACAAAAATGTTTATAGGTATGGTACAGTAGGGAACAATTGTAGCCTGGTCCAATAATACAGGATTTCTACATTTTCTGAAGCCTATCAGTCCTGAATGTCATTTAAAATCTTGACTGTCTTTGTGTGCAGGTGTAACCTTCCTCCTCTATCCAGTGAATACAGCAAGGACGTTGGATCCAAAACCCAACTGGTGACTGCAAATCCCAGTATAATTCAGAAAAGGTAGAGAGCAGATTTTTCCTTTTCTTGTTGGGGGTAGACACAAAGAAAAATTCTTCATCTGTGTTACAGAAATTAGTACATCAGAGTTGTGTTCTTAATAATCTCATCCTGAAAGGGGATCTGGAAAAGGTGGAATGGTTTGGTGTTAGGTGAAATAATTAAAGGCCAAACCTCTGATCCTTTCAGGGAAGTTAAGGGAGGTGCATATTGATGGGTGCCCCAAACTGGTGGTCAGGCCAGCTGGCTGCTGCATCCCACAGTTAATGAAGATGCTAATTTGGGTTTCTCTTTGCTTCAGCAGACATAACCTCTGAGTGCTCACTGCCTTTGCATTATTTGTTTGATGCTGACTTACAGAGTATAAAAGGGGTTAGGATGGAACTGCTTGGCAGTGTGTGATCATACAAGCTTTGCTTTCTTAGGAAACTGGGACAAATTTGTGTTGTTTATTAGAGTTGGTTGAAATTTTCCAAATGTCAGTCACTGATGAGAGTGGGGGAGAGGGAGTGGGGAAAAAAATGTCAGCCCTATCTCTGGCTTTGTCTTCCTGAATTTTAATTGCCATGTTTTTTGTTTGTCATCTGGACTGAGGTAGGTTGTTCTCAGGCAGAACAAGATCTGGTAGTAACCTGCCATGTTCACTGAAAAACACAAGAGAGAATATATGAACCAAGGGGATGAGCAGGAAATGATTAGACATAAAGAAATGTATAATGTGAGTACTGCGAGGTGAAGGATTGTGAAAGGAAGCAAAGCAGGAAAATTAAATACATAATAGAAAGCCAGGTGTTTTAAAAGGCACTGGCTTGGATATGGATGTTTGATGGCATTTAAATGTAATGTTTTTCCTCTCTTTCAGGAATTGAAGGGTTTTCTAGTTTTGTGTGTGGAAGAGATGACAGTCTTTGACAGAGTAGAGCAGAGAGGGCGAGCAAGAGGGAAATGCAGTAATAATGAGCTTCAAGAGCTGATTGCTGGCAGAGTGCTGAGTAGGAGAAGGCACAGAAATGCTTGTGGGATGAGATCAAAGCAATCCAAGCAGAATTGGCAGGGGATGGCGCCAGGTGCCAGGCAAAACCAGGGAGTTACTCAGGGCAGTGCACCTGAAGGCAGGGAATCTGAAAATCCCGTGGTATGTAGATGGCTAATTGATTCATGAAGTGGAATGAAATGGCCAGAACATCCCATCAAGGAAAAATCAGTTTGACCATCGTATTTGGGATGAAATGAAGAGGAACAGTGTGAAACACAACCTTACAGTGGGTTTTACAGTTTTCAAGACAGAGAGTTATTTAACTCGGGCATATTTGTTTTGCACCCTCCCCTCCATCAAGGTCTGGAGTAGAAAGCTGACTGTAGTTGCTATTTTTGAGCAGAAAAGGAAAAGAGTTTTAGTGATGCTTTGAGGAGACTGTGGGGCCACACTGGAGAGACCACAGAGTTCCCCAGCAAGAGGGGAAGGATGGAATGAGGAGATGGTTGAAGAAGCAGATGAAAAGAAAGATGTGCTACTTTGTGAGGGATGGATATCACAAGGAGGAGTGGAGGGGGGTGGGAAATGCGAAAAAAGAGAGGAAGGAAACAGGATTGTGATTAATGACTGCTTTCAAAGTGAGTGGATAGTAACTGTGATGGAAGACCTTGGATGAAGTAGTATAGTGGAATGAATGTGCATGTGTATTGATTAGAGGGAGATGCACAACCAGTAACTGAGAATGACACAGGGAACAAATTCATAGCACTGACAACTGGCAGAAGCCTCCTTTGAGGCTTTGCTTCCTCTGCCTGGTCAGGAAGAAATGTTTTAATTTTTAAAATTTTTTAAATAATGGACTGATGTTTCCTGTGTTCTGCCCAAAGTCATTATTTTATCTCCTGTGTGGTAAGTTAGAGTGGGGAAAAAAGGTTATATCTTGAAAGTTAAAATTGAAAAAGAAGACTACAACTCTGTCATCACTCATATGGAAAGAAGCTTTTGTAGGAATTAAGGCTGCTTATACATCCAGACTTTCATGAAATTCAAAGACATTCAGATTTGTGACTGATGTATCTGTTTCTAAGCTGTGAGTTAGCTAGCATCAAATAATAGGATTATTCATTGTCATTCTTCCCCTCCTCTTGTCCTTACTTGAAGTATATTGATATTAATGAGGCTTGACATCTCAATTATCTCTCAAGTGTCTTATGGCAGGTTAGTGAATTGGTCCTGCAACACCATTCATAGTTTCTAAAAGATTTACCCTTACCAGATAATTTGTGGTGACACAGGTTGAGTAGGGCAAAGTTTTCATACCAGAGATATGAAAGCAATTTTCTGTGTGGTTCTAATACCAGAATTAGTGCCTTTAGAAAATCAAATCATTGGCAGCTGTTATTGCAGAGATACCACCATTTCCCTTAGGAGATTTAGCACCTTAGGATGGAAGAGTCACAGTTTTAATCTAGGAGTACCTTGACTTTAAAAATAGCTTCTAAACATTGCTTTTTGCAAAATTTAGAGATCAAATTCCTACTCTGTTTTCAGCAGGAAATGTGACTGTGCAGGTAGTACAGTTTTCACTTGTGAAATATTTTGCTCCATTCTCATTTGAGTTTGAATGTCCTATCCTTTGTCCTACTCATTTGGGTTTTGACAATGTCCTACCCTAACTTCAATTAGTATAATACACGAGAACTGACAGTAGATGTACTGTGGCAGAAATTTTCCAGTCTAAGAGGATGTGTGTTGACTGTCTCAATTTCTTTTCTTGTCTAAAATTTTTCACAGACGTCTCTCTTCATTTAATATTGGAACTCACAGTCCTTCACTCCTGTGTGAAACTCCTTTTTCCACTTTGCATTCAAAACTTAACTTTTCTGTCAAAGCCTGTGTTAAGGTTGCAGTTTGGATTGAAATGTTGCATAAAGCTGCTCCTGGGGCCAAGGTGACCTCTCCCACCTTCAACCCCTGAGTATTGTTGTGGGACTGCAGTCCCACATTTTTGATGTTTCCAGTTCATTCCCCTTCCATCCTACTCAGCTTGGCTTCATCTGCAGGGAACCAATTTGTGGGCAGATTATTTTATATTTGTTCTGGGTTTTATTATCTTTCCAAGAGTAGCTGCTGTAAGTCCCTCACAGAAAAGAAGCAGTGGATAGAGAGACCCGTGATCTGCCTACAGCCATTCTAAAGATCTGAAAAAAATCAACAAGGTTATGTCACTTACAGAGGTTTTATCCATATTCTAAATTCTTGTCTACAGCTGTGGAGAGGGACGAGTCAGTGAACACAAAAACGCTTAAGAGGCAGTGATGATTTTTGACCAATAACAGATTTTTAACTAAGAAATACAGAGAACTTGTGGATGTGGAATATTATCTGTTTCTAAAGTCACTGCATCTGGGCTGTTTGGGAGAAACAAATTTTATGAATTTCTTATCATCCTCAACAACTCTTGCAAATGCCATACAATAATAATTTGTCTAAACTTCTAATTAAATCTACAAACAGATGCTGTTTGCAGCAGTATTCCTTTCTAGTGCCATGCCTGCTTATCTGTCTAACCTATGTGTAGCCATGGATAGGGGTTTTAACCCTTTAAGTGCAGCGGAAATAAGATGTACATTTACATGGTCGTCTTTCATGACAGGAAGAAAGAGACAAGTTTATTTAGAAACACACTTGGTTTTATAGCATGACTCACAATTCCAAGAGTAGAGAAAAGATGATAGGTTCAGAGAGAAGACACCCCATTCCCAGGGCCTGGTCATGTACCACAACAGGTATTTTTGTTATTAAATCTTTTTTAATTTTGACCAAATTATCACCCTGGGAGAAATTCTCCCTAGCCTTGAGCTGGACTAGTTTATTGGCTGGGAACAGAGCTAAAAAACTCCAGCCTGGAATATTTTTCAGGCTCTAATTTTCTTACTTTCTCAATATGTGTCCCACAACTATGCACACTTTTATCATCAGTAACATAGATGTAATACTCCAAATAGATGTTTCCCAGCATTTGGGGAGGTTTTAGTCCAGCTGATGTTTTCGAGTGAGTATTTTATCCAAGAGCTGTGTGGAAGCATGAACTTCCATTACTGAATGGAAACATTTTCCTTTCAGTATTTAAATTCACCTTTTTGATCTCTGTAGTATTTCTCAAGTTTTTACTGCATCCAGTGTCTTGCACTAAATCATGATGAAGGAATGAGACTGAAGACTAACAAATGCAATGATTCTGCCTCTCAGCTTGGAAATGCCAGTTAAATATCACTGCTGTTTATTAGGTTCCCATGGATTTTGAGTGGGCTTAAATTTGCTTTCCAATGTCTCCTACATTTTAGAGGCAACTAATAATCTTTCCTGGATTCAGTCCTGAAGATATTTCTGAATTCAACTGATTTGGACTATTAGGAATAAAATGGAATTGAAGCAATAATTTAATTTGATAAAAGCTCCCTTTATCTTTGATTAAACAAATGTGCAGTATTGTGTCTGTTGCTTACACTCCTGAAAATGCTTCACGAGAATTCATCTTCAGTGTGTCCCCATGTAAAAACTACATATTCTGTTCCTAGGTAGCTACATTATTATTTGGTAACTGCAAAATATCAGAAAAAGAAAGGTAGAAACCACCAATAAAATATGTTTTTGAAGGAAAACCCTTCATGCTTATCTTGTCCTTTTACTGTACAAGTCAAGCGATGGGAAGATCTTTCCCTGTAAAGTCAATTAGTCACCAGATTTTAAATACTTCATGTAGAGGTTATAATTTCATTCTGAGTATCTAAATAGATCTCAGATTATTTCATTGATAAGAAGTCTAAAGTGATAAGAATAATTCTTTTAATTCACATCTTACGTTCTTCTACAAGAGTCTCTGAACATCTGTGCCAACAGCAAAGGGATAACATTTCTGGAAAGTACATCTTGAGAGGCAAACCTGTGATAAACTCTTCTGTATATGGAGTTTGCTTGAAGCCCCATTTGTTAGTAATAATTTTTTTCCTCCTCTAATACAAAG